CTCCTCGTCCAGACAACAGAGCGATTTCGACGACGAGCCCGAAGAGGAGAACTTCTATTCGGCGAGTGATAACGACAGCACCGGCGATGACGAGGACAGCGCCGGTGACGACCCCTCCAGTCCGGCGGGCAAGTGGTCGTGTCGGTCGGTATACCAGTGCTTAATGTATTGTTTGCAGAATTTAATCACTGTTTTAATTAACATTTTTTTTGTAGATTTTGTACGTTTATTAACGACAATAAGTGTGCGATTTGTGAGATGTGTAGCAAAACTCGTCACAAGAATTGCATTAAAAAGCCGTCAAATCGTAAGAATCGGCCGCAGAATAGGACGAGAAGATTGTCGTCGAATGGCAGCAAAGCCTCCAATAAAGACACGGAATTAGACTTTGACGAGAAGATAGTCAACGAACAGAAGGCCATTGAGAAAGAGCTGATCCGACGGCTGGAAAATGAACGCCGAATCGATCGCCAGAACGAGAAGATCAGTCGACGGGAAGAGTTTATCCGACGTAAGAGTTTGGGACTTCCCGTCAGCGAACAGTTGGCCGATCAGATCAGGGCTGACCAGACGTCCGCACCCGACGGCCACCACATTAACGATGACAATAACGATGTGAATAAAAGTGTTGGCAATACTGACGTGAATATTGATTTGAATAGCAATTCAATTGTAAAAAAATGTTTTTCAAGACATAACTCGACGGAATCGGAGAAAAATATTGTCGACACTAATAATAATAATAATAATTGCAATAATAATAAAACTATTGATCAAAATAGTGAACAATTACCTCAAAATGCAGATAAAAGTGTCACAAAAACAATCAATAATTTACAAAATATTCAAAATAATGAACAAAATATAAATAATAATAATTTTAATAACAATCAAAATACAACTGTCGATCAAAATACACAAAACACATTTAATCACAATAATAATAATCCCTATAATAATAATAATAATAGTGTTAATTACAATTCAAATGCCAATAATTTTAATAATAATAGTCATAATAATTACAATAATCAAAATATGAGTCAAACTTCTCGTTCATTAAATTCAGACACTAATTCATACAACAATCAAATGTCTTCACAACCCATACAACACATACCACAGCAAAACCCGATGACCGCCGGCGCCGCACAATACCCAAACACAGTATTCAATGATCGGCGGCCATCGTATCCGCCGGCCTATCAGCCGACCGGTTATCCATTTCCGGTACCGAATCCATTGTTACCACACAATCCGCTAATGAATCCAATGATGAACCCATTGATGAATGCGATGGCATCGCAAATGAATCCATTGCCGCAAATGTATGCCACGAATCCATTGCACAATATGTACGCTTTCAACAACGGTATGAATGGCTCGCAGACTAGTCTCGATCGGTTTGGTTACCCCGTGAGCACTGGTGGCTCATCCGTGGCCACCGATCACAGCTATATTAACCCATTGTTGCCAAACATGTCATCGAGATATTCGAGTTGCGAGAATTTACAATCCATTAGCAGTTCGGTGACCAACAGATCCAATATGGAGTCGGGATTGCAGTTAATCCAGTTGTTGAGAGACGCAGACCGGAAGGGCTATACCGCCGATGACGTCGAAGTGGCCATCAATTTTAGTGCAGATAAACCGTTAGGTATTAAACAAATAAAATCCTTATTAATTAACAAAAGTACAGAATATTCTGTAATACTATTGCAATACATATACAGAATGGTTGGACGAGAATTGGCATAATATGTGCGAAACAGTTATGACGTTAACAAACAATCAGATAATGCAAAACGAGACAAAAAGCGGTAATAAACGGCTTATGGATTGGGATCTGTTGACAGAAGCGGAGGCAAAAGTGGCCCTCCGGGGGACCAAAGGTAACATTTGGCAGTCTATTGAAAAGTGCGTCAAAAACAAACAAAATACGGCCAAAATGGGCGGCACTGGCAATGGTGTGCCCGACGGAGACCACAAGACTTCGCTATCACTAGAGATATCGGGTATGGGTTCGGGTAAAGAGAATAACGACTCAAATGTGGTAAAAACTGTCGCCCAATTGGACCAAATAAATGGTAACGTATTATACCTTTTAGTCTAATAATTAATTTTATAAATAATAACTAAAATAATTTATTTAACTAAAAGACAGTTCCGATGCGAAACCCGACCAATACATTGAGGAGAGAGTGATAACCGAAGAGTTGACCACAACTGTGACCACAAATCTGGTTCATCAGGAGATAGCGATGGCCACGAGTAGCGGCGGAATGAGCGCCGACCGGAAAGTGTTGTCCAACTCAATGGAACAGCTGTTGAGTGAGTGGAAGATTGAGAAACAACTGTCGGATCGACAGCGCCTTCAGGAGCGCGAGAGGGAGAAAATGAGGAAAATTCTTGAGCTCCAGAAACGGTTGAGTGAATTCGACACCGATTTAGACGACAGTAGTGTCAGCACAACTGCCGACGAAGTGGAAGACCTACCGCTGGACACCGGTCTCGTTGTCCCGGCGGCCGACGATCAGCCCTTTACGGACGTTACCGGCGATGAACTGCAACTGATCGGTATTGAAGTGCGACCAATGGATGTCCGAAGGCTGGAAATCAGTGGCCACGAGTCCGACGGTGAGGATCCACTCGAAGATGTGGCGAGCGATGGATCAGTTGGCGATGAACTGGATTTGAATAGAGATCCCAACGAGTATTATAGTGACGGCGAAAGGGCTGATCGACTGAGCGATGACTTCAGTGACGATGAATTTGCCAGAATTGACGCCAGAATTCAGCAAAAATTGGACCAGAATTTCGCCGCCAATAGGGTCGCAGAATCTGTGGACATATTTAATGGCATTACCGGCGATAAGAATTCAATACAAGAAAATCCTATTTATACACAATTATCGGACAATAAGAGCGTTGAGAATACTATTGAAAAATCTATTGAACCAATTGTTGAGCAAAATGTTGTTAAAGAATGTGATACTAGAGATGAGTTTGAATATTGGCAAAGTTGTAGTACGAGTCAGGCAAATGACACAAAACATGATGATAATAGTGATGGCAATAATACAAATACCAGTCCAGAAAATGTTAAACAGAAAGAATATTGTGTTGATAATAATGCCAAAGCAATTGCCGTGAATAACATCAAAGAGTTTGTAACGGGAAAAATGGCTAAATTAGGAATTAGTAATGAGAAATTACAAGAATATTCTTTAATGTCTGGCATTGAAAATAAATTGAATACAAATCCTAAGCCGAGTGAACAGAATTTACAACAATTTGTTAAACAAGAAATCACGGATTCTGCTAAAGAGGTTTATGTTGATAATAAAATGATGACAAATGCCATACAAATTGGCACAAAGTCTAGGGTTGAGAATAAAACTAAGATATTGGTTGAAAAATGCAAAACACAAGAATATTCCCTGTTATCCAGTGTTAAAACAAATGAAAATCTCAATAATACTGATAATAATATGTCAGACAATATTAGCCAACAAAATGCAAAACAAACACAAGAAATGGTAAAACTGGAAGAATCGTCTTCAATGTCTGGCACTGAAAGTAAATTGAATTCAAGCCAAAAGAATAATATACAGAACCCACGAAAATCTGATAAACAAGATATCAAAGAATCCGTTAAACAAGAACTCAAAGATTCCGTTAAAGAAACAGTTGATAACAAA